TATTATGCAATGATCAGCTGCATGCAAGTAGGCCATCACCACCCCATTTCAGACCTTATTACCTGAACTATTGCCATAGCTTCCTGATTTGTCTACCTGTTTCTGATCTCCCCTCTCCAATCTATGTTCCAGTCAGTTGCCAAACTAATTTTCCTAAAGCACAGGGCTAACCAATTCACTGCCCTGCTCAAGTAGCTTCAGTGACTCTCTATGGTCTTTATTTTTATTTCTTGAGACTGGGTCTCCCTATCTTACCCAGACTGGAAATGCAATGGCTAGTCACTGGCATGAGTCCAAAACTAATTGACAGGGGAGCTTTGACCAGTTCCTTTTCTGATCTGGGCCAGGTCATCATTCCTTAGGTAGCCTAGTACCCCCTCCCCCTCAAGGGTTCACCATATTGATGCCAGACTTAGTGTGATGACATCTTTTCAGTTTGGCAGGGTGCAGTTAACAAATTAACTCCAAAGCTGAGCTTAATCAATCCACCAGCCTCAGCCTCCCCAGTAGCAGGGAATGTAGGTGTATACCATTACACACAGCCCTCCACATTGACTTTGAAATAAAATACCAATTCCTCACCTTGGTATTTAAATGTCTCCACTACATTACTGTATCCTACCTTTCTAGACTTGTCTCACATTATTCTCCCTCATGCATTCTTCATTCTAACTCAACTGGCCTATTTGTTGGTCTCTGAATTTGGTGTTCAATTTCTCACAACCATGGCTTTACCCATATGCCTGGAATGCTTTTCACCCTCACCTCTACCTTATAGAAACCTTAGCTTCCTTCAAAGATCAATTCATGTCCTAAGGGGAAGCCTTTCCTGATCCCCCTGGGAGTTAATGCTCTCTCCTTCCTATCTTATACTGACTTTTATGCATCAAGGTTGTGCCCTCCAATAGTATGGAAACTTCCTGGGGACAGAATCTCTTTTTCATTTTTGTTTTTGTGACTCAATACCTATTATTTGAACATAGCAGGTGTTCAATAAATGTTTGCTTACTGAGCTGAAATAAGCTACAACAGGTGCTCAAGTAAGTGAATCAAATTAATTTGAGAAGGTTGATGAAAGCCTCCTTTCTCAAATACATACAGAACTGAGTCAAATTTATAAAAAGAATAGGCATATCCCAACTGATAAATGGTCAAAAAATATGAAGGGGCAGTTTTTAGATGAAGTAGCCAAAACTATCTATAGTCATAGGGAAAAATGCTCTAAATTCTTATTGATTAGAGAAATGCAACTGTGCCTTAGATTAGATTAGATTAGATTAGAGAAACACGACTCTGAGGTACCACCCCTACATCTATCAGATTGGCTAATATGACAGAAAAAGAAAATGACAAATGTTAGAGGGGATGTGGGAAAATTGAGACACTAATGTATTGTTGGTGGAGTTATAAACTGATTCAACCTTTTTGGAGAGCAATTTGGAACTATGCCCAATGGGGCATAAAATCCATGCATATCCTTTGACTTAGCAATAATGCTATTAGGTTTGTATCCCAAAGAGATTTTAAAAAAGGAAAAGAATATATATGTACAAAATACTTATATCAGCTTTTTGTGGTGGCAAAGAATTGGGAATTGAGGGGATGCCCATCAACTAGAAGATGACTGAACAACCTGTGGTATATGATTGTGCTGGAATACCATCGTACTATAGGAAATGATGAGCAGAATGCTCTCAGAAAAACCAAAAATTACATGAACTGATGCAAAGTGAAATGTGCAGAATGAGGAGAACATTGTGTACAGTAGCTGTAGTATTGTACAATGATCAACTGTGAATGACTTAGTTATTCTCAGCAACACAACGATCCAAGACAATTCTAAAGTACTTACGATGAAAAATGCTATCCATCTCCAGAGAAACAACTGATGGAATTTGAATGCAGGTTGAAGTATACTTCTTTTTACTTTGTTTATTTGTCTTGTTGCTTTTTCTATCTATGTATTCTTTCATAACATGATTACTATGGAAATGTTTTTCATGACTGTACATATGTAACCTATGTTAAATTGCTTGTCTTCTCAATGAGGGAGGGAGGGAGAAAAGGAGGGAGGGAAAGAATTTGAAACTCAATATTTTAAAAAGCAAATATTAAAAATTGTTTTACATGTAATTGTGGGAAAATTAAATATTAAATAAATGTATTTTTTAATTAATTTGAGAAAGGACAGAACATTGCCAGTGAGATAGATCCAGAAATGGATCTTCCCATAGGAGGTGGTATCTGTTCTCAGCCTTGAAGGAAGCTAAGGAGGCTGTGATCACATCATTTCACTACTCAGAAACTTTCAATGACATCATATTGCCTATAAGATAAAGCCCAAACTCCTTAGCCTGGCATTCAAAGCCATCTACAGTATGAGCTTGTCCTAACTCTAAATTCAAATTTTTTCACTTCTACAAATACTGATCATGTTCTTATTATTTGCAGAGCCCCAGGTGTTAGGTATTGGTAAAAGATACAAAAATGAATCAGACTTGTTTCTTGCCCTCCAGGATCTCATTTGAGGGAATAAGACAGAGACTAAATAAGACTAAATAAAACTAAAATATAAGGCAGATAGAGACAAGGGCATTAAAAACATGAATACTGAGGGGGAATGGGAATCAGATGAGGGAAAAGTCATGCTATGTGTTGGATGGTTTGGCATGAGAGAAATTTGAAGCAGGAAGACCAGATAGGAGGACATCACAACAATCCGAGTGAATCATGGGAACCTGGACTAATGTGAAGATCTTGGAAGTGGAGAGAATGTGGGAATGAAGTGCTAAATAATAGCTCTTTGTACAAGGTCCTCATTGTTCACACTCCCTTCCATGTTGTTGCTGAGTCTCTGGTCATCATGAGAGGACAATTCCCAATCCCAGAGTTCCTTGGTCAGCTTACAGGAGATAATTCCTTCTTCAAAATGAAATAGGCACAAGGAAGTAGTATAGAATATACAGAGGAGAGCATCATTGGAAAGACAATTATGAGTTTGGAGATAACAACAGTCAGGGAGGGCTAGACTGGTCAGTAAAGACCTGCCAGAGTAAATGAGACTTAAGTTGAGCCTTGAAGATGCAATGGTAGATGGAGGGAGGGAGGTGGCAGTTAGAAGGATATCACAGGTAGGATAAGAGCTGTGGGAACATACACAAATGGGTTTGGGGGATAGTGAAGTATCCTATTGGTCTAGAGCTGAGGGTCTGGAGAGGAGAACTATGATTAAGAAGCCAAGAGGGGGGAAAACCTACAGAGGATTTTCAATGCTGACCTGTGGAGTTTAGTTCTTATCCTATAGGAGCTGCTGCAGATTTGTGAGCAGTGAGTAAAGTGAATAACCTTGGCCTTAGAGATATTGGTTTGGTGACCTGTCTCTGTTTTTTTTTTTTTTTTGCTTATTCAATTCCCATTTAAATCCCTCTTTATCCCTCCCTATCCTTCAAGGGTCAGATGAAATGTCCCTTCCCCTTTCCTCCTGCCACCCCAAGGAACTTCTTTGAAATACTTGGTCCAAAGGTGGCAGGTAATATAACAGAGAAGGTGACAGAGCAGGGCTGTGGGGTCAAGAAGGCAGCAGGTGCTACCAATAGCCCTGAAGAGGGCACAGACCTTTCTTCCATATCACTGCTTCTTGAAGCTAAGAGGAGGGCTGGAAAGAGCAGTTTCCACTGATGCTATTTAATGGTTCACCTTAATCATATGGCACATATAGAATGTGACCATCTTTTTTTAATTTTTTTTGCTTTTTGGTGAGGCAATTGGGGTTAAATGACTTGTCCAGGGTCACACAGTTAGTAAGTGTTAAGTGTCTGAGGCCAGATATGAACTCAGGTCCTCCTGACTCAAAACCTGAGATCTATCCACTGTGCCACCTAGCTACCCCAATGTGACAATCTTTGGCAGAGGGATAAAAGACTGGCAGGAGAGCCTTGTGGGACCTCTTTGCCCTGGAGAAGCACATCTACAGTGACTGGGAGCAGGTAGAATTTAGGCTGGTCATCTCTCCTTGTGCTCCTCCTTGCTATGTGTATTCCCCTTCATCAGAGTCTTATACAGTATGCTGGACTGCAGAGCTGTCCAAGGGCTGGAGCACAGAGAGCCCCAAAGGACTTGATGGTGGCAAAATTATAACACAAATTTAAAGAAGGCTGCATTCTTGATGGCACCTTTGGAGCCTTTCCCATTCCCAGATCCAAATTAGAAGTTGAAAGAATTTGAGAAGGAGGATTCCTGAGATCTTACAGGCCAGCAAATGATCGATGCATTGTCTAGAGCTGTTCTAAGAGACCCCAGGTATAGTGGAAGGGGCAGAGGGCCTGTAGGCAGGAAGTTCAGGAGCAGACTTGGGTCTCTACTGCTTAAGTTTGTTAACTCCAGGCAGATCTCTTCCCTCATGTGAACCAGTTTTCTCATCTGTAAAATAGACATATACTTTATACTTGTACCTCATACCTCACAAGGTAATAGCGTGCAAAAGGCTTCCTGAGGGCAGGAACTAATTAATTCTTTCTGAGTTCTCTAAGACTTTGAGCTCTCCAGGGGCAGAAGTGGTTAGTTCTTCTGCTTCTCCAGGCTGGGAGGTCCGCCAGAATGAAGTCTGGGCTTGCTTCTCCTACTTGTCCCCAGAGGTGAACCAATCCCAAGGCCAGGTACAGCATAGAGGATGCTCTCTCACAGCAGGACTTCAGCCTAAATTCTACCTGCTCCCAGTCACTGATTGTTTTCCCCGGAATCAGCACTGGGGTCCTGGCCCCAGAAGGTGTGGCTACCTGGCACCCTGAGGAAGGATGGAGGAGGCTATCAGCTGAGAGTGAAGCAATGGCTGGAGTGACAAGAGTGCTGAGGAACGATGGAGACTGGGAGAAAAGCCCTGCCTCTTACTTTAGCACAGGAATATAATGTATTTCTTCCATTCCCTACACACACACACACACACACACACACACACACACACACACACACACACTCACACTCACACACACAGAGTACCAAACAGTTATAGCGCAGTAGCAGCATCTGGGGCTCTAATCCCAGATTTGTATCAAGGCCTCTGCCTGGGACCCAGCAGAGTGTGTTTGGCACAGTAGTATTGGCCTGAGTCTTCCTTTCGCAGCTGGCGCAAGGTCAGGGAGACAGTTTTGGCCTCGTTGTTCCTGGTGATAAAAGCCCTGCCCTGGACTCTAGGGCTGTACTCTCTGTTACTGCCAGTTTTGGGGCTGATGCTGGCCACGAACTCCCTGTGGTTCTCAGTTGAGCTCCAGTGCCAAGACATGGCGTATTCCTTGAAGTTAAAGCCAGAGGCCCTGCAGTTCAGAGTAACAGACTGGCCTTCATATGTCACCTTGCCTCCTGTCTCCACTAGCTGCACCTGGGTCCAGGACCCTGCAGAGGAGAAATCAAGGAGATTAAGTCCTATACAAAGCCTCCTTGGGAAGGGGAGTTTAGGAACCATGGCAGAGACACCTGGCTGTTAATTAGAGATTCCAATCCCACCCCAGGTTTCCAGTGAAAGGAGGCCAAGCAAGGAGGAGAAGCTAAGCTTCAAGACCACTACCCCCAGGGAAGAGAGGACAGGGAGGAAATAGGGATGGAGGTATCTAGAAGCTAATTAGAGCCTAAACCCCATAGAGAGGGTGAGGAAGAGGAGAGAAGCAGTGTAGACAGGACAGATACCTGGGAGAATAGAGAAGAGCAGCCCCAGGAGGTAGATCCTGGAAAGAGTGGTGAAGGTCCTGGCAGACATGCTGCTGAGCCTGGCAGGATTCTTTAGGCAGGCTGGGGTCAGCAGTTATGGCCCAGGGCTGATAATATCTGCATAGATAGGAGTTCTGCGCAGAGGGAAGTGTTTTTAAGAAGGCAGTTGAGTTCAGTGGGCTCTGCCCCTCCCCCACCAGGGGGTGGCTAGAAGTGGGTGGAGCATCAGGCAGACAGATGTAAGCCAGGGCAGGAGAAGGGAGTTAGCACAGAATACCTGTGGCTGCAGGCCTAACTTCTAGCCCCACTGGCATTCAAAAAATCCCCTTTTTTTATTTTTGATACAGGGTCTGCAGCAGGTGTCCTGAGGTATGGGGGTGCTTGGAGCATAGATCAGCATCTTGAGGTGAACACCATAGCTACACGGTCCAACTCAGCACAGATTAGAAGGTAGGTCTGGCCTTTCTCTTCTTAGCTGCCATTGCTTTACCCCCAGCCCAGTCATCTCTCTTTCTCTGCATCCCAAGACTCTGAGGAAACTGGATTCTGGGGCACTAGTACTTCAGGGGCAGTACCAGGGGTGTAGGAATAGATCATTATCCCCATAGACCCAATAGTTTTCTGGATTCTCAGGTACCCGTGGGCCAGATGAAATGTCCTACTCTGTAGGCATGTAGAGGAGGGAGAGATCATTGTCCAGTAGGGCAGTCACAGTCAATAAATGACCTGGAATGGTTCATAGAATGCTAGGCTCAGAAATTGGGAGCAGCCAGCTGGTGTGGTGGATAGGACCTTGCACCTGTAGTCAGGAAGACCTGTATTCAAATCCAGCCTCAGGTATTTACTAGCTTTGTGACTCCAGGCAAGTCACAAGTTCTGTCTGCTTCAGTTTCCTCATCTGTAAAGTGAGGATAATAATAGCACTTCTCTCCCAGAAGAATTGCTATGATGATTAGATGATATAATATTCTTAAAGCACTTTGAAATCTTCCAAATGCTATGTACATGATTGCTATTATTGTTATTATTAGAGCTAAAATTATTATTATTAAAGCTCTGTCCACTGCTCCACCTAGCTGCTCCTAAGGAGCCTCAGATTTTAATAGCCAAATCTATAACTCCCCCAGGACAGGACCTCTTTTATTCATGGATTTTACCCCAGGATCCTTTTTACCCCAGATCATGTCATCTTTAGGGCCTGGTGCCCCAAATCTGCCTGAGCTAAGTTCCTTAGGTTCACAAGCACCAGGTCCTAAATCTCTCCAGGGGTAGCCATGAGTAAGGGCATATGGATCCCCCAGGAAGGAGGCCCTAAGTCATTTTAGATATGCCAAGGAGGCCACCTGGGGTTATTGGGTTGCTTTCAGAAACTTCCAGCCCACATCAAGAGATCAGTTTACTGACCTGGTTTAGATTCCTGAGGAAAGTCCCCCTTTGGGAGCCATTTTACCTGCAATGACTTATCTACTGATAGTCATATAAGATCAATTGAGCCCTAATAAGGGTCAAAAACCTGAATTAATATTTTCTGAGTGAACTAAGAATGTCTCTTCCTGTGTCAGCAACTACAGGACCAGATGGAACTGACCAGCATTCTTCCTGTTTGTGATCATTAAGGACAGGGATGAGACACGCTCTTGAATAGTGGTGAAGAAGTCTAGAGGTTTTGGGGTGCTCAGACCCCAAGATTGTGATGCGGGCCTGCCTGAATGAATTCATCTCAAATCTTCTTCCAGCCAGAGAAAAAGTTTATTAGAGATAAAACATATAGGCCAGATGATTCCCGCAAGGAGGAGCGGGCATGAGAAAAGCTCAGCCTCTGGGCATGAGGGATTCTCAGCATTTGAATGGGGGCCAGGGTGGCTGTTATATACACTAAAGTAACTTTGGATGGCCAGAGGAGGGAGGGGTGGTTGGGAAAAGGGTCTAAGTGAGAATTCCATTTGGAAGGTCTGAGAGATTGAATAAACAATGGGAACAGATAATGGAGGGAACTGGAAGAAGGAAGTTTGAAAGGATCAGAAAGTGGGGTTAGGGCTTTCAAAGGGAGATAAGGAGAGTAGATAAAGAACCGAAAAGTTTAAGGGTTTTCTGGGACCTGTAGACAAACAGGAGCCAGATTCTTTTTAGGGCTAGGGAGGAAGGTGCATCTGAATAAGATCAAAAGGTAAGGCTAAGGCTTTCAAAGGGAAATAAGGAGCTGGGGCCTGCAGAGCCAGATTCCCTTTGGGGCAAGGGGTGAGGATCTCGACCTGGGCTGATACTCTGTCAGTGGGACTTTTCTTATCTTGGTATCCTGTGGACATATGTTATGTAAGGGAAACACAGATATCCTGGATCTATAATTTCAATGGACACCTTGACATTCTCCTATTTTATTGTATTTACAACCTATTCAACTAAGAAACTTCCTTTCCCATGCTATATGTTAAAAAACATATGGAGGCTGTATTTTTGTTTTTGAGAAACACAGGCATCCTGAGTCAGGGTTTAAATGTCCTCTTAGAATTGCTCGAGTCAATCAGAGTTAAAGCTCTGATTCCATGTACATGTGCTAACTTGAGGGAATAAAACAATATGAATTTACTTAACACCTAGCTTGTTCTTTCTTTAACCAACTTTCAGGTTGACACTACCCACTGGAACAGGATGGCATTCTCTTACTGAGGTCCCACTTAGGTAGTTAGCTAAACTTACAATGGCATCAAGGGGTTAGTGGTCAGGACTCTCAGGTGCTTCAACTCACTGTCAGTAAGGTTAACTTAACAAACACCGTTGTCCAGTGGTCAAAGAAGCCACTTGAGAACCATCTCCCAAGACCACTGAAGGAATATGGTTTGTAACTGATCTAGTTTCTCAGAATAATATTGCCCTGACTTTGACTCTTAGACTGGTACCTACCCCACCTTACAGGCTAGATTAGATATGACAGCTAGGTGGATTTCTTCACATTCCCTTAAGGAAAAGGAGTTGTGAAAAGTCAGTACCCAAAGTACAAAATGGAGCATCCCTGTCCTCCAACCCAGAGTGCTTGTGGGGAGTTTCCATTCAGTCAGTCAGAAAGTAAAAAAAAAAAATTGTTAAGCATTGACTATTATACTTGGGACTGCTAAACACCAAGGATACAGGGAAAGGCCAAAACACAGTCCCTGCCCTCAAGGAGTTCACATTCTAATGGAGAAGACAACATGCAAACAACTTTATTATATGCCATGTAAATGGAAAGCAATTTCAGAAAGAAGGCATTTGCTGAAGAGGCAGGGGTTGAGGAGGACCAAAAAAGGCCTCTTGCAGCAGGTAGTATTTGAGATGAGTCTTAAAGAAGACCAAGGAACAGAAGAGGGTATTCAAGAAAGCAGAGTATTCCAGACGCAGGAGACAACCAAGCAAAAGGATTTGGAGTAGGGAAGTGGGGTGGAGTGTGTGAAGACCATTGTCTCTGGATCATAAAATACATTTAGGAGAGTAAAAGTAAGAAGACTGGAAAGGTTATAAAGTGGTTAGGTTGTGAAGGGCTTTAAATGCCAAAAGGAGCATTTTATATTTGATCCTGGAGGTTATAAGGAGCCACTGGGGTTTATTGAGTTGGGAGGTGGGAAGATCAGGAGTCAGACTTGCATTTTGTGAAAATCACTTTGGCAGCAGGGTGGATGAAAGATTGGAGTTTCCAAGGGGCCTTGCCATTGGCTGACCATCCATCCACCACACACTGTCAATCTTACCTTAAAAATCCTATGGTTCCCCAAACTCAATTCTAGAAGACCCAGCTTCAGGAGGGGTTGAAGGGGTGTCACCCAGCCTACAGGCAGTCCAGAGCATGTTCCTGTCACCTTTTCCTCCTTTATATCTTAGCAAAGGCAGTCTATTTCCTCTCTTGATTCTTTATTACAGCCAGGGGGCAGTCTCCCTTCCACTGTTGAGTTCCTGTAGGTTCCTATCTTTATGGCTCCATCTATCTATGTCCTCAGGCTCAGTGGGACATCCCTCCCAATCCCAAGGTGGGATTTAGCTCACAGGGCCCACAGTCCTTGTGTGGCCATATTCCAGGGGCCATACTAAACCATTTTAGCTTCAGAGTGAGGGGATAGGTCATGTTCTCCTGACTTCTGCTCTTTATGAACCTCTTCCCTGAACATTGCTTATAATCTTGTCAACTGTGATGATTGTTTCAAGCAAGGACCTTACCTGGCACAGCTAAACCCTTGGAATACGGTTATGAAAGCAAGTGGTTCCTGTAATGAGATGCTAAGGATATCATTCTCAAGCAGCAGTGCCAGGATGAAGGACTTGTTGACCCCATGTAGAAACAGAAAATACAAGGCTTGGGACAACTAGATGGTGCAGTGGATAGAGTGCAGGGCCTGGAGTCAAGAATACCTGAGTTTAAATTAGACCTCAGACCCTGGGTGGCCCTGGTCAAGTCACTTGACATCTGTTTGCCTGAGTTTCCTCATTTGTAAAATGGGGAGGATAATAGCACCTGCTCCCAGGTTGTAATATTTGTAATTTGCTTGGCAGAGTGCCTGGCACATAGCTGCTATATAAATGTTAGTTATTATTATTCCTTCAGAAATGAGAAGTTGAACAAGAGTAGGTTGAGTGGCCCTTATATGCTCTGTGGAGGCCCCTCCCTTTCAGCTTAAACAAAGGCCTGTGCCAGGTCAGCATTTCTTTTGGGTTCTAGCAAGCTGCTTCCTGCCTGCTGTCTAACTACCTAACAACTCCTGAGCTGCCACAAGCTTCAATAATCAGGGGGTCATTTTTTCCCACAAGCAGGGTTGGGCAGGGAAGGTGAACAAGAGGAACTGGGTTTGATGGGGGATGGGATTTGGGCTTCAGCTTATTTGGGCCAGGAGTCTTGAGAACAGTAAAACACACTGGTTTAGGAATGAATGACATCAGGAGAGGGAGTGGGGAGGGGAAGTAGGCTCAGAATACAGGGAAGAAGCATGAACAAAGAAGATGTTGGCTTGGCATGTCCATGTTCCTGGTATCTCGTTCCCCAATCATCACTTCTAGCAGCTCATGCCCATCAAGGCAGCCTGGCACCCTCATTATGACCTCATCATAATAGGTTGATACCCAGACCAAAGCTTTACAGGTTTCACCCCTCGTGAGCCTCAGATAATTGATTTATTTGA